AATGGCCAATGTGGGAATTTGTTTTGCTTGATTACCCATGCCTGTAACAGGTTTTGGGTTGTTTTTTTTTTTTTCTTTCTCAATAGGGGAGGGTGGGAGGGAGACAATTCAGATCTGAAATAAATAAATAAAATAAAATTGATTTTTTAAAAAGAAATTTAAGCTCATTGTGAGCAGTGATTACCTTACTTTTTATATTTGTGTCCACAGTACCATGCACATACTAATTGTTTAACAACTGTTTCACACATTTATTCACCTACTCATTCATGCCTTTGGTCTTGTGTTTTACCTGCATGGACTTCAGACACCCTTCATCTCTAATCATCCCAAATACCAGATTTCCCTCAAGGTTTCTGGTCACCTAATCTCTGCTTAAAGAACTCAATTCTCAATTCCTCCATAAAATCTTATCCAACCACTAGTCCTAGATTACTTCTCCCTCCTCTAAAATCCCAAGACACTTATTTCCTATACCAGTAAAAAAAAAACCATATAACATACTATACTTTCCACATGCTACTTGCTTATGTATTTACATATCGTCTTATCCCCAATAGAATGTAAGCTGAAGAGTTTTTTTTTTCTTTATAGCCCCAGAGCCTAGAACACATAGGTGTTTAATAAATATTTGCTCAATTGAATTCATGTCAGTCTGGTCCTCCCCACTAGATTATTAGCTTTCCTCTCATAATTTTAATCAATCAGCAAGTATTTATTAAGTGCCTATTATGTGCTCAGCTTCTCACCTGCCCATTTATTCCACGTTAAATTCTCCTGGCTGAATTTTACTGAATTTCCTCAAAACAGAAGCTTCCTCTGGCTTGAACTGGCCTTGTGTGCTCACTAGTTATTGCTGCCAACTAATTATTGCTACTAGGAAACAGAACAGGGCATTGTACATACTTACTCTGTAAAGTTCTATGTACTATATAAAGGTGAGCTATTGTATTATTATTAATTTCAATATTTCAAAAATATGTGTTAGGAGTCACTTGACTAATACAGATCACAATCTTTCTTAATCTCAGTAAATGGTCTCCAGTGCCATCTCCCCATCAGATCATGTTACCCAGACTAGAAATCAAGCCCCAGAGGATTTCATCCCTTCATTTGCAGAATTCTCACCGTAGGGCCCAATATCCTGACTGGTAGTTGCTTCAATCATCCACTACTCCTAGGCCCAGCTTCAGCCATACTTCACTTCACACGCTAGTCATCTCCTCACTAGCCATCATGTTGCCCCATGAGTGCCTTTCCCATATTCCCATCAATTTTCTACCACCACTACTCCCTTTTCCAGTTCTGGAACAATAACAGAATCAACTGGTACTGATCCTTGTGTATGTCAATATGCTTTGCTATGATTCTATTTGCCATTCTTTTAACTTTCCAAACTAACACAACCTTCTATCACCACTGCACCCCCGTAAGTGTTGTCTCCTATTACAAAGTAAACCCTCCAGGGAAGAGAGTATGTTCACTTTTATATTTGTATCCTAAGCACTTAGTATAGCATTAGGCACTTAATAAGTAAGTTTAATTAATGTTTTTTTCATTCATTTATTTATTCTTTGTGTCTATGGCCAAAAAAAAAAAAAATTACCACCTGGTAACCAACCTTCTAGCAATGAAGTTCTCTAAACTTAAGCTGTTCTTCAGATGACAAACCCAGTCCTTCACCAATAGGCCTTACTAAGTTGAGAAGGTACGGCAGGGCCTGAACTTACACAATAAAACAGGGTGCTGGGACAGGACTTGAATAGAGGCCCTTGCATCTAACATGTGCTTAAAATACATTTAAATGAATTATTAATTCCTCTCCTGTGTCACAGAATTTGTATATTTATACAGATGCTTCTAAAGATATCTGGTTTAATCATTTAGAGGAAATAACAGGTTTAGCACAAGTAAGTCTGACACATATAGTTTACATTACTTATGGAAGATCCATGGATGCAGAGCACTCTACTAATTGTTTGGCAGCGTTTGCCAAGCTTAGTATATTCAGAATTCAGTTTATATTTAATAGATTTATTTTAATAAGTGAAAGCTTTGGTTCCTCAAGAAAATTAATCCTAATGAAGGAAAGGGAATAAATACACATGAAAAAAACTAAAGAACAACAGCAATCAAGTAACACGTGTAGATATAACCAAAGTGTTGTCGTTCAGTCGTTTTCAGTCATGTCCGACTCTTCATGACTGCATTTGGAGTTTTCCTGGCAAAGACACTAGAGTGGTTTGCCATTTGCTTCTCCATCTCATTTGACAGAGGGGGAAACTGAGGCAAATAGGGTTAAGTGACTTGCCCAGGGTCACACAGTTAGTTAGTGTCTGAGGCCAGATTTGAGCTCATGAAGATGAGTCTTCCTGTCTCCAGGACTGGCACTATATCTACTGTGCCGCCTAGCAGCCCCATTTAACCAAATACACATTTATAACCAATTATCCCTCCATTAAACTATAAAGGGAGTTACTGTCACATATACTTAATAATAAAGTTTCCTAGAGAAAATGAATGATGAAGAGAAACTATTTCAAATACCTCCTCTGCAAGTCATATACACAGTAAATTCTTTATTATCTGACATGACTGGAGAATGGAGTATTCGGGTTATTTATAATTGCCAAAGAATTAAAATACAATAAAATATACTTGACATTAAAAATATTGAACATAATTTAATCTTTCTTTGATAAAAATCTCCCATAAAGATCTTCCATTTGAAAATAATAGCTATCAGTACTGGAATGGTATGGTCATAAAAGCCTAGAAAATATAAATGGACAGTGCTATAATCTGTTATGTAAATGGCTAAATTTATATAACCCTTGCACTTGTCAGAACAGAAATTCTATGTACAAAGCAGCTGGGGGCACAATGCACAGAACACTAAATCTGGAGTCAAGAAGACCCAAGTTTAAATCCAGCCTCAGTCACTTAATATCTGAGGAACCCTGGGCAAGTAATTTGTTTGCCTTGGTTTCTCCATCTGTAAAATGGGAATAATACTTAGCTCCCAGAGTTGTTGTGAGAATCAAATGACATAATATTTGTAAAGCGCTTTGCAAACCTTAAAGCACTATGTAAATGCTAACTGTAATTCTTATCCATCTTTTCAGTAGCTAGCCAATCAATGAACACACAGTAGGCAATCAATAGATACTTGCTAATTGATTTTCCTCATTTTCACTGAAATAAAAGCTATCTTTCTAGTCTGGAAAGGATACAGGGGTGGATCACACAAGTTTCATTATAAAATTTAGATGGTTTCTTTTTATAGAAAAGTATGTCTGTCTTTGGACTGTTAGGACATCATCATGAGATAATAACTTAGCACTTAGAGTTGGAAGGAACCTCATAGCACCTCTAATCAATTCATTTTGTAGATAAGAAAACTGAAGCTTGGAGAGATGAGCAATTTGCCAAAAGTCACACATGTACTAATCAGCAGAGCCAAGATTCCAACCCAAATCGTCAAATCCAACTGCAGTAGGCTCTCTCCACTCCACTGCCAGAGACCATCTGTTGTACTTTTATTAACTTGATACACACGGATTGAATAAGGTTCTGCTTAATAGTGCCCTAGTCAGTAGAAAATCAAATAACAGTCAGCTATACTATTACACCTACCTTGTGGGCATTAAAATGTGCTTTGTAATATTTAGATCGATGATAGCATAACATACTAAGAATTTTTTATATCCAGTTTTCTTTTAAAGGAACACATTGAATTTGCTTTGGCAAAACAAATTTTAGAAAATCCAGACTGGCATATTCCTTCTCATGCTTCCATCAAATTTATTAGCCAATGAAAGTTAATTATTAGTTAATATAGTGGGGGTGTTTCCACTTCTTTTGTGCATTCTTCAGTGCACAAAAAGTATAAGATAACTGACCATGTGCTCTAACTGGCTAGAAAGAGGTAATACTCAAAACATTTCTGAGATTTAGACATTGTTAAGCAGTTCTCTCTCCACCTCACCCCCCAAAACAACTAAGAAATAGGATGCACTACAGGAAATATCACAAAATACCAAATAATCATAACGGATTACTAATTGATGTAAGGGGTAAGCTATCATTAATGCAGGAATAAGAAGACTCCAGATGACCAAAAAGGATGTTAAATATAAATATTGCTTTAAAAAAAACCCCAAAACTATAGATTCTTATATGAAGAACTGCCAAACAATTTCAATTAGTGAAACCTGAAACTCTTTAAAAGAGATTGTTCTGCATTGTACAAAGTAACAACCACACTGTGCAATGACTAACTTTCATAGACCTAGCTTTTCTCAGCAATGCAAGGATCAAAGACAACTCCAAAAGACTCATGAGGGAAAATGCTATCCACATGCAGAGAAAGAATTCTGAAGTCTGAATGCAGATGGAAGCATGCTATTTGCTCTCTTTCTTTTGTTATTTTATTTTGTTTCTTCTTTCTCGTGGTTCTGCCCATTGGTTCTTATTCTTCTTGACAACATGACTAATGTGAAAATATGTTTATTATGAATGTATATGCAGAGTCTATATCAAATTGCATGCTGTCTTGGGGCAGGAGAAAGGTGAGAAAAGTTAAAACTCAAGATCTTATGGAAGTGAATGTTGAAAACTAAAAATAAATAAATAAATTTTTGAAAAGACATTTTTGGGGAAAAAAGATTGTTCTGGTGAGGGGGAGATGTGCACAAAGTTTACACTTTCATTTTGGATCAAATTATTCCATACTTTTTATAATCTTTTTACTTGGGATTCTAACATAACAGTTTTGTTTTCGCCCTTTATCCAGTTTTCTTTCCACTATGGATTGGATTACATAACTTCAGTATAACCTTTCACTGGATTAGATCCCCAAAACTCCCTTTAGAAGAGATAATGATTTCAGCTAGTGCAGATTAACAGTGAAGATAAACTATGATAAATCTTTTTTAGAACACACCAAAAAATAAAGTAAAAAATATCTGATAGCGAAGCACTTAATGGCTGAAACTCACATCTGAGCCCACACCTCTCGTGGTAGTCTGCAGGATAGGTTTAGCCATGGACAGTTTGCCCGTGACTGGGTTGTTCCCTACAGGGGTTGGTAACACATTCACCACTTGGTTAGGTAGTTGAGTGGTTCCCCTAGTGACAGCAATGACTGGCTGAACAGAAGGCAGAATTCCAGGTGCCTGTAGTTGGACCATGGTCGGCTGAGAGAGCACAACAGGCTGACCTACATTGGGAGAAAAAAAAATCTGAGGTTATATATCCATCATGGAAGAAGTAATATTTCATTTGGTCCATGTATACTAATTTACAAGAACAACAACAAATTACTGGTGTTTGTTTGAGAGGCTGGGAGTTTGAATAAAATCGGCTCCAATTTTCCCTTTTAAAATTAGTTATCATTAAAAGAGTGACTATAGCAATACAATGCTTCTAAATTTGTGTTCCTCCTCAGACCACAAATGTTATTTTCTTTGTATTTCTCTTAGGTACATGACAAAAACTACAGGTTTTTATCTGTGAACTACAGGTATTTATCTATGCATCCTAGATTATTAGCTCCATGAAGGCAGGGGCCATGGCTTATCTACCTTTGTATCTTCTCAAGAGCTTTGTACCAAGTTCTACAAATTCTAAGTCTTTTACAAATGTTTGCTCAATTAATTTGAATGTCTTCTCACCTACACAAAGAGATCAAATTTGTTCATTTAAACCCAGTACAATTTCTCTAAAAGATTGTAATTGCTTCTTTAAACGTGTTACATATTCAAAAGTGCTCTGGATATATTGTTATTGTAAATATCCAATTTCTTCTGCGAAATGCAGAGAATCAATAATTTTAAATCAATGACACCTGCATATATAGCAGTTATCTGACCAGGGAACTATTTTAACTATAAAAGCAGCAAATTTCAAAAATTAAAAACTCCATGAAATGGATCCTCAGGTGAAGCAGAAGAAAAAAACAAACAAACAAAAAAACCACATGTGTGCCAACAGGACCCAATAGTAATAAAAGTTGACAGGATTAACACTATAAAATGATACTACATCTGAAGGCAGTGTGTACCATTAAGTCTAAAGAAGATTAATATAAAACACAGCAGTGGAATTACCAAATTGTATTAAAAATTTTACTTGCCTACTAGGTGATTTCTTTTAGATTTGGTCCACTTTATAGGAAACTGGATTCCAGGGCTAATTTCCACAGCTGATTTAAAATCCATCTGGTAAAATAAGGCTGTTACATTAACAGCTAACTTAAAAAAATTATTTCTAATTTTTTTTCTTTAAACTGTCAGTCGAGGATATTTGACATGGCCCACATAAAGTTCAGCTTAGTATTTCATAAGAACCGAAGAATATTAAAGATTAAAACAATTCTCCAGAACACCTGCTTGGTAGGAACATCTGTCTTCTCTAAAAAAAAATCATTCTCACAAAACCTGAAAGAGGTTCCATCCAGAAACTGAAAAGGACACAATCCCAAAGTAGGTAACTTAGCAAAATCTCAAGGTTTCAAATGGCTTATAAAGGCAGACTAATGATCTGGATACAATTATTGCTTTTTTTCCTTAGAACTACCCAAGATAAATGAGGAAGAAGGAATATCTAAAAACTCCCTCATGATATTTGTAATTCCTACAAGTTAAAAGATTAAATGATCTATAAACACATTTATCTTGTCATTTTTCCTCTCATGACTACATTACTTTAACAAATCAAAAATCTTCAAAATGGAAAAATGACTCATAAACAAATGCAGAAAGATATTTAGTGGACTAAAGATACAAATAAAAAATAATTAAGACATAAAACAATAGGCAAAATAAACAGCATATGACCAAGTGCTGGGTTTTTACTAACTTTAACAAATTCCTGTGGCTGGGTACCATGTGAAGACATAATAGGTCATAATATTAAAAAACCAAGCTGAATACCACCTCACACCTATGAGATTGGCTAATATAACAGAAAAGAAAAATGATACATTTTGGAGAAGATGTGGGAAACTTGGAAGACTAATGCACTGTTTTTGGAATTGTGAACTGATCAACCATTTTGGGGAGCAATTTGGAACTATGCCCAAAGGCCTATAAAACTGTGTATACCCTTTGTTCCAGCAATACCAATAGAAGGTCTGTACCCTAAAGAGATCATAAAAAAGGGAAAAGGACCCACATGTACAAAAATATTTATAGCAGCTCTTTTTGTGGTGGCAAAGAATTAGAAATTGAGTGGATGCCCACCAATTGTGGAATGGCTGAACAAGTTGTGGTATATAAATGTAAAGGAATACAATTGTACTATAAGAAATGATGAGCAGGCAGATATCAGAAAAACCTGGGAAGACTTACATGAACTGATGCTGAATGAAGTGAGCAGAACCAAGAGAACATTATCAGCAACAGCAACACTGTGTGATGATCAACTTTGATAGTCTTAGCTCTTCTCAGTAATACAATGGTCTCACGCAATTCCAAAAGACTGATGATGGAAAATGCTATCCATATGCAAAGAAAGAACTATGGAGTCTGAATGCAGATCAAAACATACTATTTTCACTTTTTTCATTTTTCTTTCTCTTGGTTTTTTCCCTTTTGTTCTGATTCTTCTATCATATGACTAATGTGGAAATATGTTTAATACGATTGTACATATATAACCTATATCAGATTGCTTGCTGTCTTGAGCATGGCGGAGGGAAGGGAAGGAGGGATAAAAAAATTTGGAACTCAAAATCTTCTAAAAGTGAATGCTTAAAACAATCTTTACATGTAATTGGAAAAAATAAAATACTATTAATAAAGTAGAAAAAAAAAAACCAAGGCAAAAATCTGAGAAGAGTATCATAAGTAGCAGTATTACTCAGAATCTGAGGTTAAGTTAGAGTTAAAAGGATTTTAAAGATTCAATAGCATTCAACAGGCATTTGATAGTATTCCAAAAGAATATCTGATATATAAAAAAAGGAAAAAACAGAATATTTGATATACAAAAAGAGAAATAGAATACAAAAAAAAATTCAAAGTAAGGAAAGCATTACTGGTTCTTGTTTCAGCAGTACCACATAAATGAAGTAGTATATGAAATTAAGAAGCAAATAGCTTTGGAATAGATCCCAAGACTCATCATGACAACAATTCACATCAATGCTACTTACATCCACTGCTATGCTGATAAAACTATAACATAGGGGAATGTTAAGGCATGTTTTGGGAGCAAATGTAACTCAATGTTATATGAGGCAAACTGCTGCCTCCTTCACCTTTCATTTATACAAAGTCTCTTCATTCCACAGTGTTCAGCTATATCCCAATGAACTGGCAATTTGAAGCTGGGAACTCTCAGCATGTATGCTCCAGGTATCTCTTCACATCCAAAAGAAAATGGGTTAAATGTTGCCTGTTCTGCTTTCAAAGGAAGAAATCAAAGCTATCAATAGCAGCATGAAAAAATACTCTAAATCACTAATAGAGAATTTAAATTAAAACAATTCTGAGAGTTCACCTCATATCCATCAGACTGGCAAAATGGACAAAAATGGAAAATAACGAATGTAGGAGGGGCTGAGGAAAGACATGCTGAAGAAGTTATGAACTGGTCCAACTATTACAGAAAGCATTATCAAACTATACCCCAAAGGTCACTGAACTGTGTACACCCTTTGATAGAGCAATACCAGCATGAGCAACGCTCCAAAGAAATCACAGAAAGAGGGAAATGGTCCAATTTACAAAGATATTTATAGCAATTCTTTTTTGTGATGGAAAAAAAAACTGAGAATAAAGGGGGTACCCATCAACTTGGGGAATGGCTAAAAAAATTATGGTATACGGATGTGATGAGATTTCTTCTGTGCCATAAGAAATAAATGAAGAGGATAGTTTCAGAGAAAGCTGGGAAGACTTGCATGGAACTGATACAGAGTGAAGTGGGTACAGGTTAACAATTTATACAATTGCAACAATATCTTAAAGAAAAACAACTTTGAAAGACTTAAGAACTCTAACCAATACAATGACCAACCACAATTCCAGAGAAGAAGTAATTAATTAATCATGCTATCCAACTCCTGGCAGAGAAGTGATGGTCTCAGTGTACAGAAGAAGACACAGTTTTAGATGTAAACAATGAGATGATTTGTTTTGCTTGAATTTGTTATGCCTATTTATCATAATGGTTTGTTTTTCTTTTTCAATAGGGAGGGAGTAGGAAAGAGGAGGAGAAAATAAATTTTTGTTAACTGGAAAAATAAAATTTAATTTTAAAAATATTAAAGAATCAATCTTTTAAAAAATGCTGCTTATTCCAATTTCTGCACCTCATAACAGTAAAACATAATGGGATATCTAAGTGACTTCCCAAACACCTGGGACCACAAATTCACAAATCACATGATCTTATGATTTGTAGGCATCAGACAAAACTGGCTATTTGACTGATGCTATTCATAATGAAGAATCTTCGGAGTCACCAGGTAAAAATGGTAAATAAGAGTCTCTTTAATTTCCATATCTATATCAAAATATCCTGATTAGTCTCCCAGCCAACTGCCCTCTTGAAAGACTACTGCTGGGTTCCCTCATACATCAGGCCAATAACATCTGCATGATCATGGAAAAGTCACAACCTCTTAGGAGCTCTCATTCCCCCTCTATAAGATGAAAGAGCTAAACTAGGTAACTTATCTCAAAGGTAAGGTTTGATGGTCTGTAAGTTTCATCTTTTAAATTTTGCTCAAACCAAAAATGAATCAATTAACCAATATTCACCAAGCGCACAAAGATGTTCTAAGCACTATGTTAGGCACAAAGGAGTATAAAAGGCTGTATAAGAAACAGCCCCTATCGCTAAGGAGCTAAAAATCTATCAGAATATGAAAACACATATACACATGAGCAGATAATTAACAAATCAATAAATGATAAAATTCAAATGAGTTGAACCAGAAAGGTCAGTTCAGCAAAAAGTTCAGAGGAAGGGGAAAATTTGAACTGGGAAGGTCAGGAAAAAGCTTTTGGAAGGATATGGGACTAGGACTAACTCTTGCATTATGTGCAAGATTTGGATAAAGATGGTATTTTAGGGAAAGAGAATGAGTCATAAAGACTAGGTAGGATTTCAAGAGGCAGTGATAAGGGAGAAGGCACTCCAGGAATAAGGAATGGTATAAGCAGAGGCACAGGGCCAATGAACGCAAAGTTCACTCGTGAAGATTTCCTA